GTTCCCCTTGGATTATAGAACCCTTAAAGGGACCCTTATAGAACCTTAAAGGGTTCCTCTAAGGGCGCGTGTAAAGGATCTACAGGGGTTCCAGGGTTCAGGGTTTTACGGTTTAAGGCCTCGGGGCTTAAGGTTTATGCTTTAGGGCTTTAGTGTTTAGTGATTACGGTGTTGGTCAAACGGGTTACGATAAGGACCTTGAGAAAATTTTGAGTCGAGCTCCTTAAACGGTTTCCTCCAAACAAGCCCTATAAGGGTTTCACTATGGGGCATTGTTATGGGGGCTTTGAATAGGTGGCATGAGTAATTCAAGCAGGGCTTGTGCGTAAGTTGCAGTATAGCCATGAATACACCTATTCAGGCAATTACTCGGGCCATTCCACTAGAGTTTTGGCATTCGGCGTTCTTTTGACAGTTCCATTAACGGTTCCTAATTAAGGGTGCTGGGTTCAAAAGGGCTTCAAGTTTCGGAAGTTGATCTCCAAAAGGCCCGAAGTAGGTCCTAGTCATAGAGTCTCGACCTCGCCCAAAGTAGGTACTGTTTGTATACTTGGAAGCTCAAGGCTAGTAACAAAAAGCCGAAACCCCTAAACCCTAAACCCTAATCCTAGGGTCCACGGGCCTTGGATACCAGAAACTCTACATCCCGAAAGCGCAAGCTCAAACCCGAAGCCTAGAGGGTTCAGGGCTTAGACTTTAACTCACTGGCCCAAAACCCCAGGAAAAAAAAGTTGAACCTTTCAGAATCGACTAATTACCATATCAGAACCCCAAAACTTGAAAAGTTGAGAAACCCTAAACCCTAAACCCTAGAGTTTAGAGCCAATAAGTTAACCCTAAACCCTAAACCTCGAAACCCTCACTTCAAATCCTAAGCCTAGAGGGTTTGGGTTTAGGGTTTAGGGTTGAGGGATTAGGGATTAGGGTTTAGGGTTTAGGGTTTAGGGTTAGTTTAGGGTTTAGGAATTAGGTTGATCATCTTTTGGCTTCGATGTCAACACCAGAATAGACCTATGCGATAATGCCCCCCAAAAACCCTACTCATTCTAATGGTTAAGGCCCCTACAGTAAAGGGGAGGGCTCGTGACTTTTGCGGCTTCTGGGGTATAGAGCTCAGCGTCCGTCCCACGCAGCAGCTGCCCAGAACCGCTCAGGAGATTCCTCGTCTGCAACGCTGCGAAGCTTCAGTCTAATGTAGGGGCCTGGTTTAGGGTTTAGGGGTTTGGGGGTTAAGGGGTTTAGGGTTCAGGGTATAGGCTTTAGGGTGTGGGGTTTAGGTTTTAGGGTTTAGGCTTTAGGGTTTAGGGCCTGGGTAGTTTAGAGTTTAGGGTTTAGGAGCCTTAATATGTTAAATAAAGCTTCTACTGGAGGGCTACTATGGGGCCTGGAAAAATGAAATAGGATGTTGGGTACATGATGGTATGATGATACTAGGGCCCTAAGGAATAGGAATTCTAGGGATTAAGGCTGACGAAGGGATCGGGTTCCAGGGCTTTGGGACTAGGCTTTAGAGTGAGTTTGGTGTCTAGGGCTATAGATTTGGGAGGTTAGTCTACATAAACGAACCCACAAAGAACACAAAACCAGCTGCAATCCGAATGCTTCTTAAAAAACGACACAGAAAATGCACAAACAAAAACAGTTCACCAAACAACAACTTCCAAACAAACCCTAAACCCTAAACCTAAACCCCAGCAATAGTACTAAAAGCCCCTATTAAACCCTAAACCCCTAACCCTTAACCCTAAATCTTAAACCCTAAACCCTGAACCCTAAACCCTGAACCCTAAACTCTACAAAACCCCCAAACCTAAAGTCTAGACCCCTAAAACCCCAAAAAACTTTGGACTCTGATCGCCAAGGTCTCCCTCGACCAACGCCCAGCTGGGCCTGGGCTGCGCGACTCAGCTCCGCCACAAGGCGATCCTGAGGTGACGGTGGGGGTATGTTCTATATGTACATGTATGTCTACGTATACATAGAGGTATATATATATATAGAGAGAGAGATGTGTATATATATATATATATATTGATTGTGTAGATAGATATATATATATATAGATATAGATATACCTATATACCTATATACCTATATACATATATATATATAGGAGTTTCCGAAAGTTAGAGTTCCTTTTTTTAAGCACCTTTTTCCACCTAGCAGTTAAGGTCGGCGGAATCCTCATTGAGGAATGTTTAAGGTTTGCAGATTTCGAAGATTAGGGGCATCTTTTGGGGGGTCCGTATAATTAGGATCCGACTATTTAGGGTACTATATTAGGGTTCCATACTCTCGGAAACTCTCATATACATACATATATACATATATGACGGGTCCCTGGGTAGATCCCTAAATCAAAAGGGCAAGAAGGTACTACTCAGAGACCTAGCGTAGACATATATATATATATATATATGTATATACATATACATATATATATATACAGATGTCTAGTATCCACCCAAAGATCAACCCTCTTCTTCTTTCAGGCACATCCCCCCCTCTTCCCACCCGCCCCCCTGTTTCGCCCCAACCCACGCAAACCCTACACCCTACACCCTAAACCCTAAACCCTAAACCCTAAACCCTAAACCCTAGACCCTAAACCCTATCACGCGGTTTCAACTGGGATCCATCGTTCTGCCTGAGACCAATGGTTCAAAGGGGAAAAGGAGGGACCCTTAATGGGGACCCCTACCCTATAATGGGCTATATAATGGAATATCTGTCTTAGAAGGGGCCCTCACCCTGTAATAGTGACCATAAGCATTATATAGGATTATATTAGGGCCCTATTATATTCCTATTATACCACTATTACAGGGTGGGGGCAGCTTCTAAAATCTGTCCATCTATCTGCCCACCTGTCTATCCATCTACCTGTCCACCTACCTGTCTATCAATGGACTCTGCGTATAGTATCGCTATAGACAGAGATAGAACTCCAAATTCAGATTGCGATCAAGATAGAAGTATAGGTAAGTGTTTGGGTATAGATATACGCGAATATACGGATTCAGGGCGTAAAGGCTGTAAGTTGTTCGGGTGGTGCCGGGATTGACTTCGAGGGTCAATGGACCCACTGAGGAGGCTAGAAACACGAGGGCTTAGGCTTCAGGGTATAACTTTTGGGTGGCTTTTGCCTGCGCTAAGAAAAAATCCAACTACTAAGTCATCCAGCCACCGAGCTCTAAACCCTTCATAGGGCAAGGTGCCCTTTCAGGAACCCTTTAAGCAGCCTTTAAGGAACCGTTTCAGGCATCCTTTCTAGGCAACGAGACACCCGTTAAATTTACCTTCCTTTACCATAAACGGTTTAGTCATTAAACTATGACTTACCTGGTTAACAGGGAATGCAAGAATGGGGTACAATTATAACTACTATTACTACCATTCTTCCATTCCCTACTTACCGAAGGTAAGATGAAGAAAACTGAAGGGACTCCCGTTCGGCACCTCGAGACCCCAAGCCTAAGCAAAGCCTGAGAAGGACCCCCTACTTGTCGGGTATCATGGGGAACTAAAGGTTCACCTTTTTGGTTATATAGGGATTATATAGGGACTATACTACCCAAAAAGATTCAAGGTTGCCTACTCTACTACCAGGACCCTGTAAAGAGCCCTTAAACCCTAGACCCTAAACTAAACGAACCCTTTCGTGAGCCCTTTCACTGCCAAAGGACAGATTCCAGCTCGACTGTAGCAGTCTTCCCACTCAGGAGGGTCACTTCGACGTGGACAGAGGACATTGCGGCTTTCCGCTTCCAAAAAAAAGGGTTCAGGATTTGGGGTTTTGGGGGCTGCTCGCCTTAGTGAGGGCTGCTAGTGTTCGTAGAGACTTTTATGCTAGTTCCCGCTGTATGTTTACAAGAAGTGTGCTATAGATTCTTCTCGGTGGTTTCAAGGGTTTCCAAGAGGTTCAAGGCAGAGTAGAAGCCTTCTTGATCTTTCGCAATCTGCGAATCAGAATGCAGATCCCTATGATCTGGGACCTAGATCCTTATAAGACCTAAAACCGAAATCCTTTGGGATTTAAGGTTAGGGGTTTAGGGTTTGGGGTTGGGGTTTAGGGTTTAGGGTTTGGGGTTTAGGGTTTAGGGCCCCAGGGTAAAGGTTTAAGATAACCCCTAAAACTTCAAATCTGAAGCCCTTCTTGAGCCTCTGCTGCAGAGATCAGGCATGCAAGGTCTCTCAGGCTGGAAGCACCGGCCGAGGATTCAGGGTAAGTTAAGATCATGGGACTTAGTAAGAAGGGTTATAAATAAGGTAACTATACTTATAACTTATAACCCCAATTAGGGTCCCTAAACCCTCAGCCCTGAAACCTAAACCCTTGTGCTGAGAGGCCTAACTTACTTGGAGGATCGTGTGACTTAGTAAGTAAGGTTATAAGAGTACCCTGAACCCTAAACCTGAAGCCCCTACAGTTCTGGACCACCAACCCCCCAGTTAAAATATGAACCCCGAAACCCAGGACACGTAAGCTGCCGCGAGCCTAAACATGAAATCCTACTTGGAGGCCCTTTTGACTTAGTAAGTAGGGTTAATAAGGTGGGTTATGGGGATTATAATAGGGTTTCTAGGGGATACTAAGTAGACTTACGAAGTCAAAAGGGCCTCCAAGTACATCCTCAACCTCAAACCCTGAAGCCTAAACCGCGGTTGAAGCCTCGGGTATAATCCAACTCTCAAGCCACAAGCCGTTAACAGCTTAACATCCCCAAACCCTAGACCCCGAAAGCCCAAAACCCCAACACCCTGACCCTAGACCCTAAATCTAAACCGCAACAGCTCCTGCACCCTTCACCCAGAAATCCTGCATCCTGAATCCGAAAGAGAACCGTATACCAACCCAAGGCATAACCATTAAAAGATAAACCTGATGACGATGGCGAGGATGATGAGTACTGGAAATATTATTGTTGTTATTGTTACTGGTGGTGGTAGTAGACGTCCTCGTCCTAGTCGTAGTATCTCAAAGTCGACAGCTTCGGTGCCTTATGCACTGCTGCTGTGACGGCCCGTTGGGCGCCGTCCTTGGGATTTTGGAGTTCAGAGTTGTGAGTTTAAGGGTCAAGGTTTGGGGTTTACTGGTTTAAGGTTTGTGGGTGGGGGGGACTTCAGGACTTACGATGAGCTTCTTGGACCCTGAACCCTAAACCCCTAAACATAAACGAGAATGGCTTTTGTGCAACAGCCCCTTGGTTTGCACAATAATATGAATGCAGTTTAAGTTACCATAATAGGGATCTATAGTAAATATTATGCTTCCTTATTATGGTGCGAAATGCCCACCTCGCGGACCAGAGTTTCGGATTCGGGGAGTGGAGGCTGGAAGTTCAGGGTTTAGGGTATGAGGCGTTGGGGTGCAGGGTTTGGGCAGGGTATACGCAGGGCCCAGGGATTAGCGGTATTTCGAGTACAAGTTTGTTGGGAGGTGTGTACCCGGATCTTCCAGTATCCACTATGGCGAAGGCAGTCTTCCACGTTACAGGGGCCCTTAATACGATTGAAAGGAATCTTTCCCTATTACAGCATGTTGAGGTACTTCCACATAACCTCAAACCTAGGTTATGACCCTATTAATGCACTAAACCCTGAACCCTCCTAACCTTACACCCGAAAACTAAACTCCCCAAAAAACTTGCTTCATTAAGGACTTCTACATAGATATCATAATAAAGGAACCCTCAAAAGGGGAGGTTATTTGGGGTCTAGGTACAGCTGTCTCTCCAGGTATGGTTGTCTCTAGGTAGGCTGATACCCAGAAGCCGCAGCTGTAGCTGACTCCCTGAAGTCGTGCTCCGGCGGCCGACACTGTCGGCAAAAGTGGGGATAATGTTCATCAGTTTGATGATCCATCCTCTTATTACACCCCTGCTTCTCGCATTTTTGGCATGCGACAACACAGAAGTATTGACGCTGTGCCTGACTCTCTGTTGTTTCTTGCGCGTCGCAGCACTCACTCGTTGCTGCTTCGAGTTAGATGCGTTCAATGAGCTCTCATCATCAGACACCCTAAACCCTAAACCCTAAACCCTGAACCTTGTGGGGTTTCAAAACGTTGATGTTTGGCCTGAGGGGACTCCATCCTGCCCGACCTTCACACTTTCCCAGACCTTCCAAAATCCCTTAATTAAGGAATATACCTTAAATTATATTAGGATCCCTAATATGAATTGAGGTATACCTTAACCCCAAGTAACCTACATTTTTAAGGACTTATATAACGAAATCATATTAGGGAACCCTAAAAAGGCAGGTTCCTTAGGGTCCAGGTATTCCTTAATTAAGGGATTTTGGAAGGTCTGGGTTTCCTCCGCTGCTGCTTGGGTCTCGCGAGCAGCAGGTTTTGCAAAAGCAGGCGATGGTTGTAGCTTCTCTCGCCGAATTGACGATCCCCTAAACCCTAGACCCAAAACCCCAAACCCTAAACTAAAAGCCTAAATCCTGAACCCCAAACCTCTAAACCCCTAAACCCTAAACCCCCAAACCCCTCAACCCTAAACCGTAGCTTCACCTCTGACTTCTGGCTGCTGCTTCGATGGTAGGCACCAGCAGGCACCCTGAGTAAAAGCCCCGAGGCTCCTTTCAGGTTCCTTTAAGCTTGCTTGAAGGGTTTAGGGTTGAGGGGTTTAGGGGTTTAAGGGTTTAGGGGTTTAAGGGTTTAGGGGTTTAGGGTTTAGGGATTACCTTTTTAGGGTCCTTCAAAGTAACTTTTTGATACCTTTAAGGGTCCCTTAAGGTTGCTTTGAAGCGCTTTTTTAAGTTACTTTAAGGGTCCTATAAGGTTCAAAAACTAAACCCCAAGCCCCAAACACCAAACCCCAAAAACTAAACCCCAACCCCTGAACCCTACATGAGGACCAAAGCTCTACCTAGAACCTTGAAGCTCGATCGGCTTGGGATCGAGGGTTGCGGGGTTTCGGGCCTCGGGTTTAGGGTTTACTTGGAGGCCCTTTTGACTTAGTAAGTAGGGTTAGTAAGGTGGGTTATGGGGATTATAATGGGGTTTCTAGGGGATACTAAGTAGACTTACTAAGTCAAAAGGGCCTCCAAGTAGGGTTTAGGGTTTAGGGGTTTAAAGTGTTTTTTGTTTGAGTGTGCTGGGGCCTTTTCCTGCATGAGTTTGGGGTTTTAGGATTTAGGGTTTTGGGGTTTTGTTGTTTTAGGGTGTTAGGGTTTAGGGCTTGGGTGTTTTTTGAGAGCTCCTTTCTGCCTGCACGTGGGTACGGCCTACGGAAGCCTAGGGCTTCGGGCTAAACCCTACGCACCCTACCCAAACCTTCCAAAATCCCTGAATTAAGGAATATACTTCAATGCATATTAGGGGTCCTATTATAACTTAAAGTATATTCCTTAATGAAGGGATTTTGGAAGGTTCGGGTAGCCCTGACATCAAAATCCAAATCCTAAGCCCTAGGCCAACAAATAAAACCTAAGCCTCAACGCCTAGGGCTTCAGGGTTTAGGCTTTTTGTTTAGGGTTTGGGGTTTACAAAATAGTGCTTAAGCTTTTACCTAAATCCCAAGCCCCGAAAACCGCGTCACCTTTAAGAAACCGGAAATAGGAAAAAAGACTCTGTAGAAATCTTGAAGAAGCGTGAACCAAAGAAGCCACCAATGAGGCCCTCGCATGCTTGCACTTCGCCCATCCTTGCACACGTCTGGCACTTGAGCTTGGAGTCAGAATTTTGGAGATCGGCCATAGAAGCGGCGCATGAAAATTCAACAGTACAGTCTTGGGATACTATGACGGCATATGCACACGATATTGGGATACTGCTACTAAAGACTTGAACCGCTACGCTGGGTGTCCTTTTGTCAATCATCCCCAACTCTCGGCAGCATGGACTCTTCTAAGGTTCGGGCTTCAAGGGTTCTAGGGTTTAGGACCTAAGGATTCAAACCCTAAACCCTAAACCCCTAAACCCTCAACCCTGAACCCTAAACCCTAAACTCCTAAACCCCAAACCCTCAACCCTCCCTAAACCCTAAACCCCGAAACCCTAAATCCTTCTGGGGGCTGGGGGTTTTGGGGCTGGTCCGACCCAGTCTAGAAAGCCGGCCGCCCTTCCGAAAAACCCTAAACCCGAAGGAGGGTTTAGGGTTTAGGGGTTTGGGGTTTAGGGTTTAGGGGTTTAGGGTTGAGGGGTTTGGGGTTTAGGGTTGAGGGGTTTAGGGTTGAGGGTTTAGGGTTCAGCAGCTCCGGATCGAGCAGTTTTAAAGTAGGGTTGTGTTTACGGTTTAGAAATAACACCCACCCACCCTTAGAATCCCATAACATCAGGGACATACAAAGTTTCACTTCTTTCGCAGCTTCAAACCTTAAACCCTGAACCCTTAAACCCTGAACCCTTAAACCTTGAACCCTTAAACCCTGAACCCTTAAACCCTGAACCCTTAAACCCTGAACCCTTAAACCCTGAACCCTTAAACCCTGAACCCTTAAACCCTGAACCCTTAAACCTTGAACCCTTAAACCCTGAACCCTTAAACCCTGATCCCTGCCTGAACCCTTAAACCCTGAACCCTTAAACCCTGAACCCTTAAACCCTGAACCCTTTAACCCTGAACCTTAAACCCTGAACCCTTAAACCCTGAACCCTTAAACCCTGAACCCTTAAACCCTGAACCCTTAAACCCTGGACCCTTAAACCCTAAACCCTTAAACCCTGAACCCTTAAACCGTGAACACTTAAACCCTGAACCCTAAACCCTGAACCCTTAAACCCTGAACCCTTAAACCCTGAACCCTTAAACCCTGAACCCTTAAACCCTGAAGTTTGGGCCTTGTCCACGAATTCCATTAAGGTTGGTCCGACAAGTTTGGGCCTTGCCCACGAATTCCAGTAAGGTTTAAATAACTATATGAAGGAGAGATTTAGGGTTGAGGGTTTAGGGTTTAAGGTTTAGGGTTTAGGGGTTTAGGGGTTTAGGGTTTAGGGGCCCAGGTGCACGTTTAAGGCCCCTGCAGCAAAACTCAGACTCTATCCTCATAACCGGATTTCCTTTGTCAGCCTCTGAGGTCGGGGCTTAGACCCTGCTTGGAGGCCCTTTTGACTTAGTAAGTCTACTTAGTATCCCCCATAAGCCCTATTATAGGCCCCATAACCCACCTTACTAACCCTACTTACTAAGTCAAAAGGGCCTCCAAGTGTTCTAGACTTTAAACCCTACGCCCTAAACCTTGAACCCCAAACCTAAACCGTAAAATGCCAGAAACCCCGATCACCCTCAGCTGTAGACCCCAAGCCCTAAACCCTAAACCCCAAACCCCGAACTAAACCGGAAAAGCCCAGAAATCGCAATCCCTCTCATGAACCAACAGCTAAAATCTTCGAGAACCTCTATGAATGCAGGACAACGTTCTATCCCTGGATTAAGAACCCGCCTTAGAACACCAAACAACGCTAAGCCGAAAATGCCCTGAACCGAAATATGAGTCCCAATCTCACGACCCTAAGCTCCAACTGAAACCCTTTCTGACTCCGACACTGCTAATTACTGCTCGGCTTAATGAAGGGGCCTTAATGGTTAAAATTTGGTTTGGGGGCATACTGGCGTGAACTAGTATGAAGCGGGGTCAATATCTAAACGTCTAAACCCTACAAATGGATATTATCGTGCTTTATCCATAAACCTTAAACCCTCAACCCTGTTCCTAGCCCGACAAGTAAAGTTCGTGTCCTGGTTGACAGCGGAGCCGATAAGCATGGCCAGGCAGAGCTGCACCAGAGCGCAGGTGTGCCAAGAATTTTAGGTTGGGGCTTAGGGGTTGGAGGTTCAGGGTTCTTTGTTTTTGAAGCGTGAAGACGACAAGTCTACCTGTACCGGCACACGCTGGTGAGACTATCATGTAGTAGAGCTCGAGTGGTGGCTTCAATCGCATTCTCATAGTCCACATGGTTCAAGTTTAGGTTTAGGGTTCAGGGTTTAGGGTTCAGGCTTTCGGGTATACTGTCAGGTTTAGGGTTCGTGGCTTGCTTGCTGGCTTTGGGACTAAACCTACACCCTGCACAGTAAACCCTGTTACTCAGAGGGCTCGGGGGCTTGGGGCAAAGGAGTTTCAGTGTTGAGGAAGATGACCTTTCCTTCAAGCCGGCGGGGCAATTTCAAAACCTTTCTCCCCGTGGGTTGGGGCTTAGAGCCGCAGCGTTCGGGACTTTAACATATTATAATGAGTTAACCCCTCTTCAACCCTATACAGCCCATAAAAGGTAACCCCTTAAGTACAAGCATCAGGCCTTTACATGTGTTCTGTGCCCCGAAACTCGAGTCCCAGGGAACTTGCTGACGCCCGCTGGCAGTGTCTCTACACCCATCCCCAACAAAGAGCAGCCGGCCCCAAACCCAAACCCCAAATCCCGAAACCCCGCAACCCAAGCTTGTGATTCAGGGCTTATAGGGCGTTTAGGGTTTGGAGTTTAGGGTTTAGTGTTTGGATCCGATATGCAACCCCATCGAAACCTCTTGACGACCACCGTTTACACCCAACTGTAAAGCCTATCTGTACTCATCTCACGAGGTGAGCAAACGAACTTCGCATGTTCCAGTTTCCTTTGAAGCATGACGAGAACACAAACACATCTTGAAAAGAACACTGCACTATTCAATAGAACCCGCAATACAGGTTATTACATTGTTACAAGACGCTGCAAAACCATTTTCACAAAGCACAAAAAAGCACAATAAAAATCTTTGGAAACACCTTATTGGATGCATCAAAATATTTACACAAGGAGGGTGGGCCTTTCCATCAGTTCTTACAAAAGACATCGTACAAGTTCGGGCCTACATACGGTACCCCGTCATTTTCGGAAACTTTCAAACTCCCTTGTCAACACAGGAAGGAAACATAGCCGTTGTCGTTACAAACAACTGAGTGTAAACGTAACAACACTGATGGCTCAAGTGATGATACCGATAGCAGCAACAGCAAAAGCAAACAGCAGATTGAAAGGAATGATAGCAAGTACTTCTTCAAAAAGGCGATGATTCACCAGGAAATCTTTGAAAACACGTAGAGCAAGTACAAGTGGCAGTACTGCAACTAGTATGCTTGCAAAGACCGTTTCAATCGTAATTGAAGGCGGCGGTTCCGCTTCAAAGCACAGCAGCCACAGGTAGTGGGCATGAGTTTTCACGCCATGAATGAGATCGATAGTCCTGCTTCAATAGCACGGCATATTTCTGACATCCAAGTGTGTCATGTCTATGTGCGCCCAGGCTTTCTTTGCAGCAGCAAAATGTTTTGCCTCGCGGCGAAAAGCTGAGGTAAGTTTGGCCTGAACTGTATTTAGAAGTTCAGGAGGATGTTGACAAGGAAAGTCGTTAATTCCAAGAAGCGTGGACCGACCTTGCAGCAGAGCAAGAGCACGACGTGTGCCGCCGACACGTGGCGCAAAGGGGATAGGCGCCCATCGATGTATGATTCGATGTGCCGGGATCCAGGGTGCCTTTAGCTCACTGTATCAGTCGGTCAAGACGCATGCAGCGAGGCCTGTTGGCGGCAAGCATGCACAGGGCCGAAAAAGTTTCCCCCACTCTGCCAACTTTCGCCCGCTGCTTTTGCAGCTGTAACCAAATAGTGCCCGTTTCTCGCACCCAGTGCGTGTTTGTCCACTCAAAGCTTCGGCGTGGCCTAAAAGGAGTAGGAGTAGTAGCAGTAGTAGCAGTAGTAGCAGTAGTAGCAGTAGTAGCAGTAGTAGCAGTAGTAGCAGTAGTATAGTAGTAGCAGTAGTAGTAGTAGCAGCTGGAGTAGTAGGAGTTGTAGGAGGGAGTAGGAGTACTAGTAGCAGAAGTACTAGCACTAGTACGCACAGCAGTACTTGTAGTACAAACAGTAGAAGAAAAAAACACATGGTCATAACATTACCAATATTATGGCAATGACAACCCCTAAACCCCCCAAACCCTAAACCCTTACCCCTAAACCGCAAAGCCCTAAACCCTAAACCCTTAAACTGTAAACCCTAGAAAAGTATCCGCACCTGAGCCTCCTCTGAGTCCGGGCTCATCTTCCTTGGACGTATTCTGACCGACAGGGGTCTTTTGGTGCCTTTGTTGAAGGCTTCGGGTTCAGGAGTTTAGGGTGTAGGGTTTCGGATTTCAAGGGGTTTGAGGGTTTGCAAAGAAGATAAAATGAGACAAGCCCTTCACATAATACTCCACTGGGGGCAGGTTAGAAGCTAGGTTAACCCCACGTTAGAGTTCGGGTTGGTTCAGGGCTTAGGTTTAGGGTTTTGGGTGCTCGTGTTGGGCCTTTTCCGATGCCTTCGAAGGTCCGTTTAACCAAGTCGGCATGCTGCCTGCTAGTGGGTAATGTCGGGGTCGTAATGATTAGAACAGGGCTTTTGGGTACGACTCGTATAATGACAACAACATTGCTCAGGCATCTAAAATATTAGAGTTAGTGCAAGGTATCTGCCCCTTCAGTATCACGGCCTTAGGGTTTGAGTGGGCCAAGCGGTCTAAAAATCTCAAGAACTCCTTGGTGCTATACTGTGGCGTAAACCGTGAACCCCTAAACCCAAAAGGTTTACCCTAAACCAAAAACTAAGCCAAAAACCCTGAACCTTTAATCCAGACTCTAATCCCTGGACCCTAAGCCCTAAGCCCTAAACCCCAAACCTCTAAACCCTAAACCGTGAACCTTTAACCCAAACCCTAATCCCTGGACCCTACGCCTTAAACCCACTTGGAGGCCCTTTTGACTTAGTAAGTCTACTTAGTATCCCCTAGAAACCCCCTTATACCAACCATAACCCACCTTACTAACCCTACTTACTAAGTCAAAAGGGCCTCCAAGCAACACCCCTAAATCTAAGACCCACTCCGGGTCCACAGTCTCTAACAAAAAACGAGGAAATGTCCACTAGGGTTTAGGGTTTAGGGTTTAGGGGTTTAGGGTTTAGGGTTTTTTGCGATTCAGTCTTGGTTACGCCTATGGGTTTGTCAAAGTCGAAGGGGTTGTTCTGGAAGTGTTTCATGGGCCTTGCTGCATGACCACTCGTTTAAGCATCAGATCTGGCCGGGTGGCAGCGTGAGGGAACCGCAGCCCTCACCACGAGCGTAGCCTCAAGCACGAGCCGGTTTCAGGGCTTCAGTTTTTGTTTAAGGAGGGTTTCGGGTTTAGGGTTTCGGGTTTAGGGGTTCTGGTTTAGGGTTTGCGGTTTATAGAGTAGGGCTTCTGGTTTCGGGTATAAGGTTTAAGATTTCTGGTTTCGGGTTTCAGGTTTAGGGTGTCGGGTTTAGGGTTTCGGGTTCAGGGGTTCTGGCTTAGGGTTTCTTTGGGGGGTTTAGGATTTCGGATTTAAGGTTTCGGGTTCCTGGTTTAGGGTTTCTGGTTTCGGGTTTAGGGTTTAGGGTTTCGGGTTTAGGGGCTTTTTGTTTCGGCCGCATGTAGGCGATGTAGGACCCGGGAGACTGTAGAGGTCGGAAAAAAATTACCAATAGGGTCGCCTTGTAGTTCCCTTATTGTTCTAGGTTCCTGAGTAGCCCGTTAAAATTAGGGTACCCTTTGTCCTACTACTCTGCTTTTAATCAGGGCGCAAATGTTAAAAAAAGGCAAAAGGGTACCACTCAGCAACCGAGAGACACCCCACACAAACCAGAAGGCATCCTATGCTTTGGGCTCTGCACTGTGTGGCTTAGACTTTCGGTGTTCGCATTCTAGGTTCACTGCTCAAAGTGCACCCTTTCGTACGCAGCATCCACAGCGACACCCTCAACCCTAAAGCCTAAACCGTCACTCTCTGGCTCTAAACCCCAAACCCTCCTAAACAACCCCAGATCTAGAACAACCCCCTCAAAAAACCCTAAACCTGAAATGCTCGAAAGGCCCTCGACCCTAAACCCTCAAAAGGCCCTCAGCCCTAAACCGCGAGAAAAACCGTAGAAACAAAACGCCCCCACAGCTCCCCGGAAGTACTTCGAGGACCGTGGGACTTAAACAGGGTTCCTTAAAAGGGTTCCTTGAAAGGCTCCTGAAAGGGATCTATAGGGGTTCTATAAGGGAGGACCTTGGGACTTAGTAAGAAAGGTTATAAATACCTTAATTGGGGTTGAAAGTAATTTTAAGTATAGTCACCACTTACTAAGCCCCATGATCCTCCAAGTGGTTGGAGCGCGGCGCGCTTCTGCATGCGTGGCTTCGTGCGGGGAGGTGGGGGGACTGCTAACGTACATTACTATACTGAACTTAGAACCCTAGCAAAAATTATAATTTAGCTGTTTCTTAGGAATTATAATAACCAAAAATGAAAAATTATTTCTAAGTACCCCTAAGATTATTTTGTGGAGCGTCCACAGACCCAGCTCAATGAAGTGGAGCTGAGAACTGAAACTCCGAAGAGCTCGACAGAAGATACTTGGAGGATCATGGGACTTAGTAAGTAGGGTTATAAGTGCCTTAATTTGGGGTTATAAGTTCTTATAAGAATAGTTACCTTATTTATAACCCCACTTACTAAGTCCCATGGTCCTTTAAGTAGTATGCCCATGTTCGCGCAAAGTAGTTCGGGACAATCTGAATCTTCTGAAAAGACGAGTTCCTTACGCGAAAGGACTTCTCTGCCTGTTTCCCCCCTTAGAAGTGCTACTTCTACACAACTCGTTCGTGCAACTGGCGCAAAGCCTTGCAAAAGAGACACTATGAAGACCCTTGAAGAGCCAGACCACTCCTCTGTTGCGAAACTTCTGCTGGATCTCGACCTGCTGAAATCCCAGCTGACCAAGGAGATCAGCAATTTCTCCAGAGCACCACGGGTGCCGAGCTCCAACCAGACGCCACACAGCCGACTTTGGAGTAAGGCGAGGGTCATCGGCAGAAGGCGGATGCCCAGCTGATGAGACCCAAGAGCAACCCCCTCAGTGCCAGCTTGCTTGCGGACTCGCCCACTTGGAGGATCATGGGACTTACTAAGTAAGGATATAAGTGCATTAATTGGGGTTAAAAGTACTTATAAGTGTAGTTACCTTGTTTATAACCCCACTTACTAAGTCCCATGATCCTTTAAGCAAGGTACCCGGTCCAGTCCTCGTCATGGAACCACTGGACCCGGTTTAGGGTTAAGGGTTTATGGTTTAGGGGACTTTGTGACTTTGCGCGGCACATTGAGGGCCAAGGCAGTTTCGTCACCAACCGCATCAGCAAACCACGGCCCAGCAAGTCCTTCTATCTTGACTCGCTCCTGTACCCAAAACAACACGTACGCCCATGCGCCGCGGACCTAGTTCCTAGATCTCTCAAATCGCGGTGCCCTAAACCCTAAACCCTAAACCCTAAACCCTAAACCTTAAACCATGATTAACCTAGGAAATGGACCTATAAAGGAACCTTTAAAGGGTCCGTTGAAGGAACCCCCAAAGGATCCCTTAAAGGAACCCTTAAAGGATCCCTCAAAAGAATCCTCAAAGGATTCCTTCAAGGAACCCCCAAAGGATCCCGTAAAGGAACCCTTAAAGGACTCCTTCACAATTTCTACGTAGGGTCTTTCACGGATAATAGTTCGAACCGGGCTGTGGGAGGAAGGGTGATTTACGGCATAAAGACAAGATCAAGCCCGAAGGAGTAACCGCGGTTTAGGGCCGTTTAGGGATTTAGGGGTTTAGGTGAAAAAGGCTTAGGGGGTCAGGGGTTTAGGGTTTAGGCGTTTAAGGTCTAGGGATTTAGGGCTTAGGAACTTTCATAATTGGTCAGGCTGCTATAATGTATCCGCAGGCCATTCATATCGACAGTCAAGACACCGTTAACCTTAAGATGAGTACGACGGAGAAGAACGCAAGCCCTAGTCCCTGAACCCTAAACCGTCAAACCCTAAACCCCTGAACCATTTAATCCATTGAGAAAGCCGAGTGCGGCGCCATCGGCAGTGCCGTCGAAGGTGAAACATCGGCCCCGGGGCGATAGCATGTGCGGGCCTCGGGAGTGCAACGCTTGCTTCCCCAATAAGACACAGAAATAACAAAGTTCGAAACTTCCAGACTACTACTAAACTATAAGCACCCAATAAGTTTGAAGGTTGGCTATCGTCGACTAAGCAAAAGGGTTAAGGACGTTATTATTGTTCAGGATTTATTGAGCTCCTTAAGACGTACCCGGAACTTTCGAGGCCAGTCTCCATGCACGCGTGCAACTCATCGGCGTCCGGTTCAACTCATCGCCCAGCTCAGCACGTTCCTGTCTGCTCTCTGCGCAGGAGAGTTTCTTGCCGATCAGGTGGAGCTCGTGGCTGAGATAAGCTAGTGAACTCCTGAACAAGCCTGGCAATCGTAGTTCTAGCCTGAGACGATGCTCCATGACCATCTGGATCGCGACGACATAAGGGTCGGTAGATGTCGTTGGCCAGTCCCGCACCTGCATCACCCGGGGTTTTGCCACAGCTGTTTTGCTGGGTGCGACTGGGCTGTTTGGCTGGGTGCCCGACCAGCCCTGTCTGCTGAGTCTGCGGATGCGCCGTTCGCCTCGCCCTATTCCTCTTCGCTTCAAGAATCTAGGTTTTTTTTTTTTTTACGCCTTTTTCCGTCCGCTAGATTCTTAGGGTTCAGGGTTTACCCCGGGCCCAACAAGCCTACATGAAAAAGGAGTTCTATACATACAGAAGCCATGATAAAACAAAAACCTAACTTAGTAGCTGAGTACCCAAGCCCAAAAAGGCTAACTGAGGGTAAGTAGGATTATATAAACCCCGAAAGAGATCCATTTCAGGAACCCCTTCAAGGACCCCTTTTGAAGGACAAAGGGTAAGCTGCTTCGGCTACAGGTAGGTGTGTAAAGGCTTAGGATCTCGGCTCGCTGGCTGATGTCGTGCTGAGGAACTGGGTTTAAGTTCTTATGACAAGGAATGGCGATCCTTTAGTTTAGGGTTTGGGGTATAGGATCTAAGGGTTTAGGGTTTAGGACCTAAGGTTTAGGGTTTAGGGTATAGGATCTAAGGGTTTAGGGTTTAGGACCTAAGGTTTAGGGTTTAGGCTACATCTCCCCATGGTAGCAATCTTCCTCAACCCGGCCCCGTAAAACGCTGAGAGCTGAATCCTTGGGGCTTCCACCCTTGGTGGTGCATACCCTTAAAGGGCTCCTTAAAGGGATCTATAGGGTTCCTTAAAGGGATCGAAAGGGGTTAGGGTTTAGGGTGTACTGGGAGGATCATGGGACCAATTAAGTGGCTTATAAGTGCCTTAAGTGGGTTTATAAGTAAGTATAAGTATGGTTAGTTTATTTATAACGCTACTTACTAAGCCCCATGATCCTGCCAGCAGCAACATAAGAGCTCAGGGGAAGAAGGGTTTCAGGCTTCGGGTTTAGGGTTTACAGTTTAGGGTTATAGTTGGGAATATAAGTCCCCTATGTATGACCTTACTTCTAATATTACTTATTAAGTCCAAGTCCCTCATGCCTCAGAAGGCTGCACTGCAAAAGGTATAGGTTTAGGGTTTAGGGTTTAGGGTTTGGAGTTTAGGGGTTTGGGGCTTAGGGTTTAGGGTTTAGGGTGTGACAGAGGACGCTGGGTCCTCAACGGATTGTACAGCTACGCAGATAGCCCAATACCCCTTAATTAAGGAATATGGCTTAAATTGTAAGGGGCTTCATATTATGATTTAATCTATATTCCTTATTTAAGGGGTTTTGGGCTCTCTGGCTACCTGGGTTTGGGGTGAAGGTCCAAGAGCCCTCAGCCCTAAACTCAAACCCCTCTACCCTAAACCCCAATACCAAACCTAACAAAAACGAGGCTGAGTCTGGATGTGGTTTTGAATTTTTCGGGTCCACGGTGCAAGCTTTGAGTCCCAAACGCCGGAATCTGAAGAATCGTAGTTCCCGAGCAGCTACCTTCAATCAAGGGCCTTGAATCGAAAGCTCAAGTTACGCTGTGGGGTATCAGTGCTGTCAGGACTTCGTGCCGAGACCGCCACCAGAGTAGAGAATGTACCTCGGCTTGGATGGGAAGTAGAGGTGCCTTAGCAATAAGAACTTCTGTTTAGGGAATATACCACAGTATAGATACACTATGCACAGTTAAGTAAACTACGCACACTACACCGCCAATCAGCGAGAAACGGATAACTTAAGTACTGAAGAACACATCAAGTAGGGAATTACCTGTATCACCAAAAAAACAAAAACCCCAAACCCTACCTCAATGTGTGTAAACAGTCTGTAGCCTGCAACAGTCAGGAATCTTATTGGGGTTTAAGGTTAGGGTGGTTCCATCACGTTGCCTGGGCAGCGCTGGTCCAAACAAAACATGGTTACCGTTGTGGAAGTAATCGTATATACCAATGACACCAACACGAATTCTCATGAAAATGATGATATTGGTGATTGTGGTGGTGGTACTGGTAATGATGGTACACGATAACAGCTATGCTTATGCAGATGCCCAGATTTGAGACTTATGACTGTGACTATGGCTTGGCCCTGACTATGACGATGGATATCCCTATAATCATCTGTCTATGCTCATGCTCATGCTTACGCTGATGCATGACAGTGACCATGACTTTGACCGCGGCTGTGACTGCGACAATAACTGCGACTACGACTCATGATTACGATTCTGGTTATGATTATGATGGCTCAGCAACAAGACCAGGATAATTTCGATGACGATGATGATGAGAATCGTCGCCGTCGCCGCAGCAGCTTTGCTGAAAGCGATGCTAAAAGTTCAAAGAAAAACAACGCTGATATACAAGAAGAAGGACCCCACGAGAATGGATACAATGACGATTGTAACGATACTAATGACACTAGTGAAAGTAACACGAAGAACCGCGATAATACTGGTAATCGCATGGCAATGATTATCATTTACCCCTGCTACAATGATATACAAACGTAGCAAAGATGATCCGCACAGTGCAACCAGGTCACGGTAGCGGGTTAGCATCGTTATCAGGTTTTCCGTGGTTCAGACGGCTCGTGTAGGATGTAAAAGGCACATTAGCGCTTCCTTCAGGGCTCCGGGGTAGTTTACAAGAACGGCCACCAATACCCTTCTTTTGTTTTAACATGTTCAAGCGAATTACAACTGCGGTGTCTTTGCTCAGAACCTTTAACTGCCGTGCCTGTAGAGATAGCCTTGCTTATGGCTACCCGTGCACCTTTGTTGCATCTTGGAATTTGAGTCTGTACTGTTTGTGCATAATATGAAGCCCCTTATAATTCAAGCCATATTCCTTAATTAAGGGGTGTTGGGCTCTCTGGGTCTGGGAGTATGGGACCAAGTCCAGGGCGTTCAGATGCAAGTTTAGGATTGGCATTGGAGTCTCCAACAATGAGGGACGCTGAACATGGGACTCTCAGGCCGTAACAAAAGTTTCGTGGCTTAATCGGTTCTGTTTTATGATTGGTTCTCATACCCTCGACACCACTTAATAGAGAGCTGTTGCTTTAAGTTTAAAGAGGCTTTCTCCATACGGCTGAAAGTAAGCTCAATTCAACGAGCGGGCTGGCTCTCGGGTTTTGAAGTGAAGAAACTTTGGAGGTGAACTTAACGTTCAGGGTTGTGGAGAGTGAACTTTGAATTCCGCAGGCATACGGTATATTGTTTCAGAACTCTGCCAAGGACTCTGCATGCGGAGTTTGCATTCTGGGAGCAGAAGCCAACATCAACGGCTACATCGTAAATTCTGCAAGGTCCCAGGAAGATGGGCCCTAGGAGTCCAGAAAGTTAGGACACTTTAACGCATCCAGCCCTAATCACCGAAACCTTACAACCACAATCGCGAACCGAGACTCATCCGCGGCGACAGAAGCAGGTTGCAGCCTTGCGCCAGGGCCATTTTCACCTGAGAGATGAGCTCCAAGCTGCAGGGTTCGGGCATAAGGTCTTCGGTGTCTATCTAAACTAACCATTGAAAAACGGGAGCTAAGGAGCCAGGGATGATGATAATCCTTATTAAATCAGGAGCTAAAGAGCCAAGGGAACCCCCAAAACCACTGGTTAGTTATTTTCATGGGTGACTGCACAAGGGCCTTGAAGCTTGATTTTGGTGCTGCCTTGCGGTGGCTATGCGACTAGCAAACATGGCGAGCGCCCATGCAATTTGTGTTCAGCAGAAGCCGGCATCGGGCTTAGTGGGAATGGGGAGCAACGTCAAAGACTGCTTGTTGGGTGTCGGACTTATGGGTTGCCAACTCGGAAATTGAATGATATGCTCTTGAAGGGGTTTAAGAGGGTTTAGGAGCCTAGGGATTGGGACTCAGGGACTAGATGAAATTCGCATCCATGCCAACTTGGCTCTCTTGATCGTGGCAGCCCCCCCAACATGTGCGGCGATCGGATTGTTCTGTGCCCGTGGATGGCTTCAGCAATTTTTATTCCTGGTTTGTGAGGGGCATCCGTCTGCGCAAGTAGGCGACAAGTAGGCTTGTAACCTTCAAAGATCGACTTCGGGCAGTGTCAGTGCCTACTCTAGTAGACCCTGGCCCTAACAACAAAAGGCATCAACAGTCACAACCTAAAACCTAAACCGCCAAGCCTTGCACTCTTGCCCTACAAACTGCATGTATGTTGCCTATCTGTGTATAAATTACATACATACATACATACATACATACATACATACATCTTCTTCCGGACGCAGCAAAAACGAGTTTGCCTAGCGAAAGCTGTAGCAAAGCCAGCATTGGGCTTCGGCGTCTCTGTGGACGCTCAACTACGCATCAAAACACCAGGCCATAATAGACGTCGATGTGTCTCCATCAAGCGCTCGAAAGTGAAGAGGTAGGACCTGAGTTCGGTTTACGAATTGCCCATATGAGGTAAACGTTGCTTGATAGAACGTCCAGGTCATCTGCAGATATCTGCAGTGCACGGTTTGGCACAAATACCGTCTTCAGTGATCCAAGCGCGGTCTTTTCCTTTCCACACGCATCTGTAGTGCCCCGAATCAGCAAGAACTCCGTAGTGCACGATTGCCGCCACCACCTCAAAAGTGTAATAAGTAATTGCACTCGTATGAGAGTCCACAAACACAGGAATGCGAAGATCCAGCAGCACATCTTGCAACGGTGTTGAGTCCTTGACTGTACGCTTGCTGCGGCCCCTCCCAACCACATTGAACCTCATCAGTTGGAATAGGACGGCCGTCGTGGTACTATTATAAGCATGAGTGCTTGCAGAATCATCCTGAGCATGCCACTTGTCAATGTAAAACTGCAGGCTTGCAGCCCCTGACAAGGGAAGAAGCACAGGAGAGGAGGAGGGAGCAGAGTCGACCTCCCGACAAACATCAAGTGCAATCTGCCTGGCTTGCCATGCACCTTTGAGCAGTGGCGATCGTAACCTTGGCATGATATGCTGGACGAACTCTGCAGCATCATGCTGCCGATAGGGCATGGACCAGGGACTGATAAGCATAACCCAGGTAAGTAGCTTGCTGATATCAAGGGGCGCCGACTGCGCGCATAGTGCCCCGTGTGCATGGCGTAACTGCCCCAGATCAGCCTCACAGCTGGCACCCATGCGGTGGTGCACAAAGAGCAATGCAAGTAGGACACTGTTCATGTAGCATGTCTTGCACGTGGGATTAGCGAGACGAACCTGCAGGAGTTCAAGAGAGTGTAAGCGGAAAGAATGAGGCTCAGGCCCTCCCAAAGGAACTGTTGAAGAGCCTGAGCAAGGTTCGAAGTCACCGGACGGTCCCGGCGAAGTCTGGCTCCGATGAGATGAAGAACGGCACAGTTGATCAGGGAGTTGAAGAGTTTCCACAGGGTATCGCCGTCCTGCCTCAACTCGATCTCCAGAGCAAATTGTACCCACTGGGTCTGATAATTGCGGCTCATTGGGCGCAGGCTGCCAAAGTGGCGAATGGTGGTCCCGTTGATAAGATTCTCTATCGCCTGCAGATCCTGCAGAATAGAGTCCACAGTACGGCTTTCCGTCTTCTCCACAAGGACCTCCTTCTGAGCAGTGGGGTCCCACTGCATGTAGTTCCAGCTGCCCTGTGAGTCTACCCATCCCATCTCGGTCGCCTTGTCTCTCATCGCACTCATGGCCGGGGAACAGAATCCCTTGATCCGGCCCCGAAGTTCCTGGATCAGTTCGCGAAGCATCGTCTCCCTTAGAGAGGACTGAACTTTGCCCTGATCGACGAGTTCCCGCCAGTGCTGTGCCACCTTGGTCATGAACGGCAGCACCGACCCCGGAGGATCTGGGCGAAAGAAGAAGAACAACTTCGTGTCCTGCTGAAGCGCCTGAAGCTGGCGCTCGTGCCTCAAGAGAAGCCTCGCCATCTGCCCCAGAACGGGAGGCTGGGAGGAGGGAGCCGCCCCCTGCATTTGGCTCCAATGCTGGGCATCCCAGTCCTGCTGGAACCCGCTGACCTCTCCTGAAGAACCCCAGTAGGTCTGTCTGCTTGGAGGCTGGCCCTTGCCTTTGTTCTTGCCCTTGCCCTTGTTCTTGCCTTTGCCCTTGGGGTGTCCCTTGCCCCGGTTCGGCTGGAAGTCCGTGGTGTGGGCATTTGCGTGTCCTCTGCCCCCTGCCGCATCTGATCTTGCCGAGGCCTCTTGGTCGACGGTGGTTGCCCAGAATTGGGGTCCGTTGTCGGAGGATGACAGCAGGACACCAGATGACGAAACATTGCTGATTCCTGCTCCTGGGCACTCTGCGACAGGTTGCCCTGCAATAGAGTTGGACTCGCCGGAGCCGGGGTCATGGCGACACGAGTAGGCTTCGATAAAGCAGCAGAGCGTGATAACATGGCAACGTTTCCAATGCGTTTGCTTGTCAAAAGTAGCTTCGAGACAGTAGGGACAGGGCTTGACAGTGGCTCTCTTCATGAGTGCTGCAAGCTCTAAACTCTAAAATTCGCGGTCGAAGCTCAGTCCAACAAGGATGTGCATTCGTGAGGTGTACCTTCTTTCCTGCGGCAGTTGCACACCATTGTCCACAGCACGGGCAGTGGTGTCTCAGCTCATCACGTAAACCAGGCAAGTGAATGAGGCTCTGCCAGCCCTGTCGGGCAGCCTGGCGAAGAACTTCTACTCATTCTACTCGCTGGATGACTGGGGTAGAGCAAAGTGGTCCCACCTGTAGTTGCCACTTGGTATCACTGGCTTGAACCTTGGTACGCGAGCCCGGAGCATGCATGGGCAAGTTGATGGACGTGGTACACAGAGGGCGGGCAGCATCAGTAGTCACGGAATCATGAAGGACGTCAACAGACAGAGACGCACTAGGACAGGAGATAGGAGCGTTATGCGCAGGTGCAGGTGGCAAGGCAGTGTGAGCTCCCAGGGAGATTGCGGCACCCGGAGGAGAGGAGGATCTGACAGCCAGGATATTGGGTGAAGAGAGCACAGGCGGATGTGTGGTAGGCTGAAGTAAGGGATCCAGCATGACACACCTGCCCTTTTGTATGTGATCCCGTAAGACAGACCAACGTGAGAAGGTCCGAGCACACAGCGCGCAGACTGGCATACCCGAGACAGCATGGACCACCGGATCAAAGGGTATCCCTAGATTACGGGAAGCTTGCGTGGCCCGGTGATGTGAAGCCTGGTGCACGCGTTCGCAAGTCAGAAAAGGTAGCATCACATGCAGGATCACTGTGACAAAGCAGTGCATGCGCTAGCTCATCACATTTGACAATCATAGTTTTCGGTTCAAGACCAATGTCATAAGCAAGCACAGTGCGATCACGAAGGCCAGCCAGAGATCTCAGCAGAATGTCCCGGACAGTGAGCACTCCCATTCGCATGTGCAAAGCTCTGGTGCTTTCAAACGTTAAATGCGACTGGGAGCGAGACACAGCACGCAAGTGCCTGGTATACACAGCCTGTAAACGTCCAAGCTGCTTAACAGTAAGGGGCAAGACGTGCAGCCCGTAGAGAAGCGTAGGCGGCAGACAAGCCCGCCGCAGGCGAAGCCTCAAGTCAAGCGCAGGGGCAGAGGCAGAAGTAAGAAGGGGCCGTAACTTCGTCCAGGCACTCCACGCTGCGGTAATTCGATGTTCCACAGAAAGAGACACAGCCTGATGATAGGAAATGGTGAAACCCAGGTAAATGTGTTCCTCTTTGAGCGGTATATCAAGTCTCCGACCAGCAGGTGTGGTGAAGTGCACCACCCGGCCCTCAGCCCCCTTGCGAATGTGACTCTTGACCCATGAGGGCGCAAAACCTCTGGTGAGGCGAAGCAAGAAGGCAGATTTCTTTTCATTCACCAAAAGGTGCGACTCAAGCAGTTGATCAAGGAAGCAGCCAAAACGCCAGAGTGCTCGATCAAGATCAGTAACCTTACGAACATGTTCTCCCATATGGAAGTCGTCCGCAAAAGCTGTCAAGCTCTTGGCCGTCCATCCCGAATCAATGGCCTGATCCGTGCGTACCATCACCACAGCAGTAGCAAGCGACCATAACAAGGGAGCTATACGGCAGCCTTGCCTAACACCGCGTTGAACGGTCACATGTGCAGTAGCATCGGAGATACGTAAGTGGTAAAAGAGGTCGCGATGCCAAAGAACAATCAATTCATACAGCTCGACAGGCACTGAGGCCTGCCGGAGGGCGTCGCGGATTAAGGGCCACTCAAGCCTGTCAAAAGCTTGTGACAAATCCAACGACAGCTGTATCGACCCGCCAATTCGCCGCCTCTGGCCAGCACCTGATGAAGGTAAATCCTGTGACACACTGGCGGGCGGTTCACAGTACGCCTGTCCCCCCAAGCAGTGAGTGAGGACACGCAGTAGTGCCTGATCAGTGGACCGATCTGCCAAGTAGGCAAATTGAGGGTGTAGCTGGAGGAAGCTGGTGACAAACGGCTTCAGCTTAGCCTGAATGAGGCCACAGACTGCACGACCCGAGATTTCAGAGATACCTAAGGGTCGCAGATGACGTGGCAAGGTCGGTGATGTGATTTTGGGGAGCAGCGACATCCAAGTGTCCTTCCAATCTTGAGGGACCGCAGTAGCGGTGCTAAGGAGCAGACGTAGCCACGGAGCAATAGTAGTGGAACAGGCTACCCAGATCGAGGTATGCGCAAGATGCTTGGGCGCCGCCTTATGCGGTGACATGTGCCAGAGGGCACCTTCCACTGAATCCAGATCATGCTGAGAAAGCGGCAAGACCACCTTCGTAGGCGCAGGGTGTCCATCGTTCACTGGGTGGGCCTCGGAGGATGACGCTGGACATGCAGTGGCGTACAAGGCATTATAATACTGCTGCAGGGTGCGTGCTTGCTCTCCATGGGAGAGGATCTCATTGTTGGGCCCGCGTAGTTGGAGTCGGGTACGACGTTGTTTGGGACAGAGTCGCGAAGCGAGCTGAAAGAGAGCTCGCGTGTCACCCTTACGGGCTGCTGTCTCCATAGTGTCGACTTGGGCCCGAAACCACTCAGTCTTGGACTTCCGAGTGGCTTGACGAAAGGTTCGATGCGCCTTGCGAAAGCGACTGTAATCAGCCCAAGCAGTCCAAATGCTGCGCCTTGCGGAGTTGGAGGTACCCCGCCAGCTGCGGTAGGCATCCCACATGGCCTTCACAGAGGTGGCAACAGTTGTGGATTGCCAAGGGACCACTCGTCCCTGATGCCTCTTACCCGGAAAAAGTTCCACAGCAACGTCCTTCAGACATAGATTGATTTCCTGCACGGTGGCCCTCGGAGAGGAAAGCAGGAATGAGGCAACTCAGGCATTCAAGGTAATAATGCGAGGGTCCAAGGCATCACGACAAACTTGAGACAGAGTGTGTGTGTGTCCAAAATGGGTGCAGCTTTGCGAGCCGGGCGCGCAAGAGCATGCACCAAAGGCAGCTTCACAGATGCGAAAATCGGCATATGATAACCACCTTTGCGCCATTTGAAGAGTGGCCACGCAACAAGGCCCGCACTGCGGGCCTCCATGTCCCCTAGTCCGTGTCGTATGAAAATATGGTCAATCAGGGAGGAGTGACTGTCACAGCGATATGTCGCTTTAGCAGCTCTAGACCACGAGTTGAGGTGGAGGAGATTACAGTCGACACAGAGGTCTTTGAGAACACCAGCATCGGGAGGATAGGTTGCATGGACAAGTCGCACCCGATTTCCGACAAGTGAGGGGACAACCTCAACCGGCGTGTTAAAGTCACCACCAATAATCAGAACATTGCGTAGAGGCAGGGACTTAACAAGTCCTTGCAACGCGCCCCAAACTTCCCGGCGAATTTGCTTGGCTGTGACTGTTGGCGCGGCACCCTTTTCCACAGCGAGTGAAGTGCTAAACACTTTCTGGTATACGTTGACCAGATCCACAGTACAGCCGTCCAAACATAATCTCAGATGCAAGAGCCGTCCTTGGACGGGTGCCGTAAAGAGGATGGAGTCAGAGGAGCACAGGGCATCTGAAATCAACATTGGGAGGACCAACTGGGGAAGACCATTTGGTGGCGAAGACTGCTTGGACTGTCATCGTCATTTTTGGGTCTCAGCCTCGTGGTTAGAGAATGTCATTTCGCACCATTTGAAAAACAATTTTGGACCCTGCAAAAACAAATGATCGTTTCATTGCTGTTCTTTGGATATCTTGCTGCTTATGGGGCTGGCCATGCTTAACATATTCTGACTCTTTTTGGGTATTGAATCAGTTTGCGAACTTGTCCGCTGAGACAGAGTGGTACGGTTGTCTTGGGGGTTCGAATGCATGTAGGATGGGCTCGGAAAACGGCTCTACCAACCCCCCCTTGTTCTGGCCGCAAAAAAAATCGAGGCGCAAACTATGCAGGTGCCGGCAAGCTTGGTTGGCCAGTTTGACGTCCAGGGCTGAAAATGAGGCATGAACATGAAGGGACTGGGGCTCGAGTTACGGGAGTCGGGCATAATCTCGACGGTTGTGGGCTTTCTGTTCATGCCCAATTGCACGAGACCAAGTCTTGAAAGGGAAATGAATAAAAATGCAAAGGAAACGATTCGGAAATGCATAGGAAACGATTGCCAGTGGAAAACAAATTCCAGACACCCGTGGAAAGTAGTAGGAATAATAAAAAAAACTGTGCGAAATAATCAATGAAACTCTGGAACAATAGGTTCAACCATTTGCAGACAGGACAGAACCTTAAAAAAAATTCTGAACAGAAACAAAACACACCAAAAAAAGAACACAGCCAAAACCAAACGCAGCAGTACTAACAGCACGAGCCTAATTATTATAGTGTTGTGTTCCGCCGTAATCGTTTGTTTCTTGTATTTGTGTTCTTATTCATCCTGATTTGTAGAAGCGCTTTTCACACATTTTGCTTTTTTGTTCAGGATGCAGCAATGTCTGCTGCTGCAATTTCGGTTTTGGTTCTCTCGGCATATAACTCTAGCATTTGCAAAAATATGTTGATCGGACATATATGTATCAAGTGCTTCTCACACATGTGGGGTTTAAGTTCAGCGGGCTCGAAGCCCCCGCATACGTTTAAAGTAAAGCTTAGCGGGTTTAGGCTTCGATCGTCCAGTTCCAGAGTTTCCAATGCCATGCAAGTCACCACTACCACGGCTCAAGACGGAAGCTGCTGAACACGATGCTTACATTTACAATGACTCCCGCAGCAACCGAAGGTCTGGAGCCGGTGACTTCTGCAAAAAGTCAGAAGAGCAACTAAGTAATAGTGCCGCAAAAGTGGCCTGAAAACATGTGCACCTCTTTGCAGCAAACAACTGGGAAATCGTGCTACTGGAGGCAGACGACCTCACGGCAAAACAGCAGTACATGGAGACGATCCTCAAAGAGAACGTGCAGCTGAAAGAAGTACCAAGACATGAAGGCCAGCTTGGCAGCCCTCAATGCTGCTATCGTATGGTCCGTCATGGACGCCTGCTTGCCTGAAAGCCTAGCTCGAAGCTGAGTCGGGCAGGCTGAACCAGGCCAGCAGGATGCAAAGCTAACATCATCATTCGCTCAACGTTCCTTTTTTCTGCACGGCACCAGGCTTCAGCACTTGTGCTAGGAGCAACCTTGGACTGACGCAGGAAGAAAACCTAACTACAGACTTGGCCCTCTCTCAGCTGTCGAGGTAGTAGTCTGGCACCTGGGTGTCCTCCTCAGAGGGATCTCGTAGCTGAATCGCTCTGTCGTCCTCTTTCTTTTGCCGCTTGCATTCCCGCAGTTCGACCTGCAGTTCCTCGAACTGGCTTTTCAGAGTCTGGTTCTCCTTGGCCAAGCGGCGAATGACTCGGTAAAGTACTGCTCCGTCTGTGACACTGATCTGGAAGTCCTCAGCGGTCCTATCCTTGTAGTATCGTTCAAGTTCGCTCCGCAACCTTTCGACGGCATCTTTCTCCGATACCCTTGGCGGCATGGGCTGAGCGGGCTGAGTAGTCGGTGTTGGCTCGGGAGCTGCCTCCATGACGCCTCGACGGAGTGCACTGCGAAAGTGCCTGTTGGGAGCCTCTGAGGTGTCTGGAGCCGAGACACTTTCAATGCTGAGTCTGGACTCCAAGACAATCACAACCGACTCGCTGCTAGCATACTCTTTGCAGCTGGTTACCTGAATCATGCGAGACTTCCAGAATACAATATGCAGCAGTGGCGGAGAAGGATGTGCTGTGCGAGGCTGGCTGCTTGCACGTTTCACAGGCCCTGTGGAGCATGATGTTTGCAGATAGTGATCTGCCTGCGGAAAGTATGCGCCGAGACTGCTCAGCGATTGCTTCCTCATTCTAACCACACGGAAACGTCAGTTAGTTAGATAGCTATGTGTATGTTGGGCAATGCCTAGACACGGTGATAAGAGCTATGAAGGCACTATTTTTGGAAACACTGACTGTCTGAGGCATATAATCGGGGCACAATCTAAATAAGCTAAGCCTCAAGCCTGGCAGCAGCAGCAGCAGCAAGGCAATACGCGAACGCTGCGAGGCTTGACTGATGTGAAATGCCGCCGGTTCCGCTTCTTTCTCGGATGCGACTGCTTGTGCTCGTCGACGAACGCCGGCCAGGGCATCATTAACTCAACTAGCCTGGTCCTCTAATGAGCCTCTTCTGCTGTCCTAGGATACTATGTCCCCCATCAACCGAACCTAACACACATTAGACCCTCTGCCACCAGATTGGACTCACTTGACCAGTGCCCAACTACGACAAAGAACGAACCTTGGCTCTTCTTCTGATGTTTCGTGAGGGTCTTAGAAGGAATGTTAAATTGTCTCGATGCAGACTCGGTCAGAAGAGCGGCACGTTTAGAAAACTGCGAAATCCGTGAAACAGAAAGGGTGAAACAAAGCGGTCCTCAAGCTTCTCGGTCCTTAGCCGGGATGCCACTGATCGACACTAACACCAGCTGCAAGAGATCTATTTCAGAAACAAAAATGTCTTTTGCGGGCCAGGCTCCCTCGCGGCAATCATTGCCGCTTCATTCTTGGCGGCCTGTTCCGACATGCTTTCTCCTGAGTACAACTCGCTCCAGGACCAGAGCTGCCGCAGTGCTGCCAGGCCCGCAGCTGGCCCTCCAGCGGTCGTCCAGCTTAGCGACCGCTGCTGATGAACCTCATCCGTGCTGAAGCCAATCTTCCACCGACCGTTGTCTTCGTCGGTGTAGACTTTGCCTCCCATCGGGATGGATGCATGCAGGAGGCGATCTACCTCCGCAGGCACAGGATCGTACGTCCTCGTGCCGCCGCCAGTGCCAGAAGGAGCTGCTGCTGACGAGGCCTTCTCAGCGGGCTTCTTCTTGGAGTCCCGCTTGGCCTGGGCCTTGGCTTTCGCCTGGGCCTTCGCTCTCGCTGTCTTCAAGTTCGGCGGCAGATTCTCCACCACGTCCTCGAAGCACTTCTGCATGGCTTCGCTGACCTGAACTTCTGTCTTCTTCTTCGTGCTGCTCTTCATGAGCTTCATGATCTGGTCCTTCTCAGTTGCCAATGTGGTATCTTGCAAAATATTCTCGACTTCTTCAAGGTCGAACTCGTCTTCGCCTTCCAGATTGCCATCTCCTTTCATCACAGCGGCTTTCACGGACGCAGCCTCAAGACCCGGGTTCTTGTTCAGGAGCAGAGCAGTTCGCAGAGCCTTAGTCTCCGCCAGGGCTTTTTGGCTCTTCGGAAGGGGCACTGCCCAGTCCTTGCAGAGCCGCTTGAGGATCTCTTCCGAGAGGTTGGCAAAGCCTCTGCTCGTGTGGAAAGACTCCAAGGAGCAGGCTGCCTTGTGGCTCGTGAGAGTCACGCCGGATCCGGATGACTTGTGTGCAAGCCACATTCGCACGGGCGACATCATCTTCAGCGGATGCACGAGGACGCTTGTCTTGTCGAAGACGAACAGGAACTCCAGTTCCGAAACCTCCAAGTCGAAAGTCCATGCTCTGCAGCCTTCACCCCGCTCAGCGAGGATCTTCGTGGTCATCGGCCACACCAAGGCCCCATTCCGATACGTCCGCAGCACGAACTTGTAGTTGTTCGTCTCCTTGGCAAAGACCACGTGGCCCTCCGGCAAAAGAGAGCCGTGCCACGCAGATTCCACCTTCTCGAACTCCTCCTTGATATGCACCAACAAGGCAAGGTTCACCATGGTCTGCTGATGGCTTTCGGGTGTGCAAACATACCACTTTGTCGGTCCGCAGATCTTCTTCAAGGTGCTCTCGATCTTCTCCTCTCTCTCAGTCCTCTCTGCCTTGCTCATCCTGTCGACTTGCCGCCTGAAAAGGAGCTGGGGGTCGTAGTCCTTGGGCGGACTTCTCACGTCGGCAGGTTGGATTTCCTTCCGCTTGTAGCCCTTCAGCAGGTCATGCTGTGTCCCTATCCGCCAGCTCAACATCTCGCTCACCTCCTGCTTCGTGGAGTCTCTGCATTCGTGTTCCCGTTGAAGTTTGTTGAGGTCTTCTACGAGCTTGGTGTTCAAGAGGCCTCCGAAGAACTGACGAACCATGTGAAAAACCTCAGCAGGAGTCGTCTGGAACTCAACCTTCGCCAAGCGATCCAGAGCCCAGTTGCCTATGGGACTGTGCTGCCCTTTGAGCATCTGCTTTGCTGCAAGTGTTCCGTTGGCCTGCACTGCTTCCAGGGTGCTGGCCACAGTCTTCAAGAAGCTTCTCGCAGCTGCTTGTTTCTCATCATTCCTCTCCAGCAAGGCTGCGAGCTTGTGGGGCAAACTCCACGTGTGCTGAAGCATGCTGCCTAAGCGATACTTCAAAAGCTTGCGGAGCACCAAAAACATGATCTCCGCCAGCTCGTCCTGCAGTGCGAGGAAATCCTCTGAGAGAGTTCTCGCCGAATCTCTTTGCATGTCAAAGCCGATACGCTTCAAGAGTCGCAAGTCGCTGAGGACTAGCAACTGGTCCTTCGCCACGTTCAGAAAGCTCCAGCATGCCCAGTTCATGAAAAACTCTCGGGTGCTTTCCTCCGACCGCATGTGCACGAGCATGTGCCCCGAATCCAGGGCTTCTGGCTGCTGGAGATAGAACATAAGTCTGGCATAGGACTTGTTCACAGGATCATTGATCCACTTGGCATAGACGTGCAGAGTATTCACAGCTTTGCTTCGCATCTTGTTCATCTGCTCCTTTGCTTGCCGGATCCCAGCCTGCTTCGTGGTGCCGCCGGTCGGTCCGACATCCGTAGAGCTGCCAGCTGCGGCTGCTCCCGACTGCTCGGGTTTCAAAAGCTCCTTGAGGACGTCGTCCGGGGTCCAGAGCTCGTCGGCGAACTGCACGTAGCCCTGAGTCAAACACACAACGGTCAACAGAAAGGCGAAGGTAGCCCAGTAGGGGTCCAGGTGGTCTTGAGCATGCTGCAGCGAGTTAAATCGCGACTTGGCTGCCTTCGGTCCCTTGCTGGCGACCACAGGCAAGGAAGGCAAACTCTTGAGGAAAGCTGCTCGCCGCTGCTCCGTGTCGTTGCTGGCGGGCTCGTCCAGATCGGCTAGGATCTCTGCGAAGAACACCTTGAGAAGCGGGTCGTTCGGCGAGAGACTCTGAGAGCACATCTGCGCCGCCGACACCAACATCTCGTGCCACCCTCCTTTGAGATACGGCCCATACTGGAGGTTATATAAGCCTATGGCGAATATTGCACGCCTCAATGTCCCAGAGCTCGCGAATGCGAGCATAGCATCGTTCCCCCTTCGATGCTGCGGGTCTGCGATGAGCTCCACGTTGATGCCCTGCTCTTCGTCTTTCATAAAGTTCGTCGCAGCAAGCTGAGTCGCCTCCTGGTCTGTTGCTAAGGTGAACCCAAGAACTTGAGGGCATGGTTCACGTCCTGCATCCAGGCGAGGCTAGCCTGTCTAGGCACATCCTCGACGGCTTTGCCTTTGAGCCTCATTCTCTTTGCAGGCATGGACTCTCCTGTGCGAGGCTCGAGGAAAGTCTCGACCCTCCGGTCCCAATCCGCCTGTTCCTCGCCCGCCTTTGCCTTCAGCTTCTGTTGTACCTGCACAGGCAGAAACAAAAACTAGGCACTCGCTGCACCGCTGACCTTACCTCACAACACGTGTGTGGGGGGGGGCTAAGCTAGGATATGAATCTTGCTGCTTGTGAATGGCCCCAAACGCCATTATGATATACCTATGAGATATGTCATTGAGCTCTGCGGAGAACAAGACAAACTGGGGGTGGGTTCTGGGGAGCGGCCGGGCTGCATGGGAGGGCTGGAACATGCTAAGACCGCACACTGACTTATAGCAAAGGCTTCAAAAACTTGGTGGGGTTTCGACGGGGCTTCGGCTCCAGGCTGCAGACAACGAAAGCTTCTTTTGCTCCGATACACATGAATTCGTCCCAACGAAAATGGGAAAGGTAACCAGCTCGCAAGCTTCATGGCTGCGAGCCTCTCAGGAGTCTCAGGAGCCTCTGCAAGGCTTTTGAAACTACAAAACAACACTTCGGAAAGCTCCAAAGCTTCTGCTGCATCTTTCATGGCGACCCCCCCAAAGTGGCGCAGACGAATTGGAAAACGAACTGGCGCAGACGAACTGGATTGTCAGCCCTACGCTTTTGGAGTCTGCAAACGCACCCTTTTGGCAACCAAAAGTTGGCGCAAACCACTTGGAAACCGAACTGGCGCAGACGAATTGGAAAACCCACTACCTGAACACACGAGCACAGCTTCCCGACCAGCCTGAGGCGGACAGATGCAGCTCCAGCCAGATTGGCCATCCCAGGCCAAAACATTGAGCAACGACTTGGAGCCGACCTGAACTCCATCGATTGCCAAACTCAGCCAGTGAGCCTCCCCGAAGCGAGCTCTGGCTTCCTGAGCATAGGCATACCTCTCCAGTGGGATGGTAAGATTGCCTCGTTGTTTGCCTTCAGCTCCTTCCTGCGAAGCTAGGACACTGGAGGCTGATCTGAGGTGCTGCTTCTTTGTCTGTTCCAGCACTGCAGCTTTCTGTGATCCACTGAGCCTCTTGTAGCCTTTCTTGGTCCTGTCACGAGAATCACAGAGGCGACTAGAAGCTCAGAGCAAACCAAAAAAAACCTTCCCTCGCTGCCTTCTCCCACTGACAGCAGTAGCACCAAGGATAGCAGCTAGCAAACGAAGCCACAGAGAGCATCATCTCTTCGGCCCGGCTTGCTGCTGTCCTGAAATTAAAACACACCCGGCCTCAAGGGCTGCAGGCGCCAGAGCTCGGTCTCCTGCCAGATGTCGGACATCCTGCTGCCTTCCACGAGATCGGCGAAAGCCTGGAGCAAAAGAGCCACAGCTTTCCGCAGGCTCTCTCGTTTGGCTGCGGAGATGTTCGGGCTGACCTCTTCACGGCAGCACATTTGCAGGCACTCGCAGAAATCGTGCTCTTCTGGAAACATATCCTTCAAGCATTTCAATGAAGAGTCACTGCTGCAGAACGTGTGCCACTTCATGTGGATGTTATCCTCGGTCAACACAATCTGGACTTTGGCCGACCTGATGCAGACAGCCTGTGAGGCTGTCACGAAGGCTCTGCACAATGCTCGCAGGAGCATGGTCGCTGTGGCTTTCACGTGTTCTGCACCCAGCTTCCATTGGCTGTTTTTGTGCAGCTTTCGTGAACTCCAGTGAAGCAGAAGCATACCCAGAACGAAAAACGAAGCGGAATACTCGCCTGCTGCCGCCGTGCTGGCTTCCGCCGGCTCCCCCGGCTCCTGCTTCCGCTTGCGGCTTGCCGCTGCCTTCGAAGTTTCTGCCTTCCGGCTGGCAACAATGTGACTCTGGATCTTCGCCTTGAGATCCTCTGAGGAAAGGCTGTTGTCGTGCAAGGCCTGGATGTAGCTCCCAAGCTTGTACTCCCAGGAGTCCGCACTGCATCCCACGAAGTTCTTGTTCTGGTGGCCTCCGCAAAATGCGACGAGCCACCGGAGATGGGGATACAAGGTCCCCGTGCCTTCTCCTCTTGGCACTCTGTATGCAAACAACTCACAGGGAAACTGTCGTCCTTGGTGTGCAGGCACTACCACAGCCACAGCTTTGAAGGTGTTGACAGCTGTTGACCAAATTTCGTCGCAGTTGTCCTGGTGGTTCCTCAGTATGGGTCCCCGCTTCTCCCATTGAAGAAGCTCTGTGGCGGAACATTCCCCCGTTGACCCATCCTCTCTCGTGAACCGGATCGTCAATCCGGGCCCATCATGCCATTCGGCATCCAGGTAATCCAGCTTGACAAGTTCACCTGTCACAGTGTTGTGCAGGAGCAGATGTTGGCGAGTCCGTCGCAAGTGCAGACTCGGCTGCTGCTGGGACGCCATTTCTTACGGAGTCTGAGTCTAAAGGTAATAATAATGATCCTGAACTTAATAAAATACAGATGATGTGGAAGCGACCGGACCTCAGGCGAGTCACTCAGGACTTGACCGCAGGACCTGAGTGGCAGTACTAAGTTACTACAGTACGACCTGGCCAGAGGACCTCAGTAGCAGCCCCACACGGCCTTTCGGAAACATGCATGTCTGTGATTCCCGTGCCTTTGTCAATGCTAGAGCCAACACCTGCTGGCAACTCGCATGACAGGCTCAGGACTTGAGATCTCCTTGGGCTCGGGGTTCGCAAAAGTTCTAATAAAAGCACATGCAGGCACGACTCTGCAGCACAATGCACACAATGGGATGGGGTGGATGCCTGCACTGCACTTGCCAGCATGGAGTGGGCGGGGTCGAGGGGGTGTGGGGTCAGGTGCGAAAGGTCATGGACTGCATCCATCACAGCAGCAACAGCAGCAACATACTCATACTGACAACACACACACACACACACACACCGCAACGGCATCTACAGCTTTTGCTGCCTCACGTGCTGCCCCGGCGAGACCTTCAGGGCCTCGTCTTCCCTTCAGCACATGTTCCGACTTGCGAGATGGCCTCCTTTCAGGCCTTGACCCCGATCTTGGAAACGCTAGATAAAAGGTCGAATGTGTGGCTTGACCTGGCCTAGCCACAAAACGATCTCCCCTAATACAAACAGAGACTTATAAGTAGTCGCTGCCAAAAGCAGATACACTCAGCCTGAGGCCTCGGCTGCTGCTGGCTCCGTGAAACCCGGGCGGGCAGGAGAAAGCTCTCCGTTTTGGAGTGCCTGCCTGCTCCGCACGAAGTTCCTGAAACTCACTGAGGCCGGTGGGCTCCCGCCGGTCTCGGCCGGCTTGGGCTTGCTGTAAGCCCACTGCTTCTCCGGCAACAACACCTGAGCCTTGGGGAAGAAGGAGACGCAGTCGAGAGCGACCATGCGGTTCGAGGTGTTCTGCACGCAGGCGGCGAGGCAGTTCACATCGTCCACCTCCCACTCAGCACCTGCCGACAGCCTCGGCAGTTCCGCTGTTTCGTCAAGCCGCAGTGCAGGAGCTGCTGGCCTTCCTCTTTGCCCGGGGTCACGTAGTAGCACCGAATGCTGTCTCGCTCGCCATACTTGAGCTTGGTCCCCGCCGACACCGCTTTGAACTGCAGGTCCTCGACTCTGAACTTAGCTTGCCTCCTTAGTTTCTCGACGAACCTGACATTCTTGACCCCGGGCAAGGGGGTCTTCTTGTTGATGTGAAACACGAAGATCATGGCATGGATCAGCCAATCATCGCAGATGTCGCTCTCCTGCAGGTCATCCAAGTCCGCATAGTCCTGAAGCATGGCGATCTTGCCCTGCTTGCTGAGGCTGAGAAGCTTGTTGCCTCGGCCTTTCAACTTCTCCCCCAACTCGTAGGATTCGCTGCCCTCGTCGCCCTGATCATCGTGGGCATCCTCCGTCAAAAGTGCCTGCAAGGCTCCCGACTTGAACAGGGCCGACAGCCTGGGCAGCCACTCCTCGTGCTCGCCGAGGGTCTTGTAGACAAAGTCGCGATCCTCTTGCAGGTTTCGCTCGTAGAAGGTGTGCATCGCCTTCTTGAAGCCGTTCTGGACACGTTCTTCTTGTTTCTCTTGCCGCTTGCTTTGCTTCTCAGTCGCCTTCTTGACCGTTTTGGCGATAGACTTGGAGAGATTGCTGACCTGTTTGCCACGCATTCGCCGGCCCGGGGTCCTCGTCGCCATAGTAGAACGTTTCGGGGCCATCTTTGCAAGCGATTGCTAGCAAAAAGGACTGCTGAGTGCTTAGCTCTGCCAAAGGAAGCCACTGAGAGCCGCACAACACAAAGAAACATACACAAACGCAGACATGTCCCCTGAGCTCAATTTGCTTTGCTGGTTCAAGACGGGTTGCAAGCTGCACGGCTGAAGCCCTTTTGTTTCTGCAAGCCTTGAGCTCCAAACCTTCGCAGCTTCATCATAGCTGCCTCAGAGTTACAGGGTCATGTTGAGGTTGAGGCTTTAGGGTTTCAGGGTTTAAGGGTTTAGGGGTTTAAGGGTTTAGGGGTTTGGGGGGTTGGGGTTCAGGGTTTAAAGGTTAGGTGTTAGGGTCAAGGGGTTTAGGGTTTGGCCGCCCAGCTCCGAGCCCGCCACCTCGTGCCAGCACGATGCTGTAAGGAGGAAAAACACAGGCTGCAAAGTGGCCTCCGTGACTAAGTCTATGTGCCAGCCTGCACAAAACACACATCGGTGCCCTGCTCAGTGACTGTCTGTGTCTGCACCTACACGAGACCAGCCTGAGCCTGAGCTCCAACAAGGCCTCCGCATCGACGAATCGACGGGGCCTGGGCCGGAGCAAGGCAAGGCTGGACACCGTACTCAATCAGCAAACCCTTCGGCCTCTTCAAGCCTTTTTTCGGAAGCACGCACGGCTGGAGGCCGACTCAAAATTGTGGATAAAACCAAAAGAAACAACTGTCACTGCTGGGACAGGACAAGGATGCGACTGTCGCAGCCCCTGGTGTGACGGCCCAGGCTGCCAGGGCGACACCTTCAACAGCAGAACGTGTGCTCGCCCACAACCACTCTTGAGCAGCCCTCTGTGGCACAACGCCGTCGGGGCACCAAGGCAGTGGCAGGATCGGCCGCTTCAAGTTCCGCTGCACGCCACCGTCGTCGGTAGCACGAATGTGTATGCCCCTGCGGACACATGCTGCAGCAGTGACGATGACTGGTGCCGGGCATAAGCAACACGTCGCACCCCTCGGTTTGGCATCGCCTCTGCTGTTCTGCTGCAGCTGTCTGGCCTGGCACCGAGGACGACAAGGCCAAGGAAGAAGACGATGCCATGGCCCGTCACGAAATCGGCAGACAAGCTTCCTCTTTTATCGAATCTAAGCACCGCTATCTGCCAATCTGGGCCATAAAAACATCAAACAGATCAGCACATCCGCAGCCATGCTCTGCAACTGCACATTCTCTCTTGGTAGAAGCCTGAGCTCCCAGCAAGGCGGAACCGGCCTGAGCCAAGGCAAGGCTGGCTACCCTGACCTGGAGTAAGGTCAAAGCAAGGCTATCGCACTCACCGTCCACTGACAGCAGAGAAATCGGTGACAGCGAAACCTGGGCTCCAGCAAAGCTTCTTCTTCGGGCCTGAGCAAGCGAGCTTTGCAAGGCTGCCATGTCAATGAAAATCCCTATGCATGTGCAAAAGCAAGCAGCATTTTTTCTTCAGCCTTCTCCAAACAATCAATCGTGCCCTACGCACAGGAAGCAATGGCGGGATCGCTCCCACCACAAAGGCCCTGCCCGGCCAAGCCATCATCTCCGGGTCCGCCTTCACCTCCTTTGTCACCGGAGCCTGGCTTGTCATAGTTCTTGTAGCTGCCGTCATATCCCGGCCAGGACTCCTTCTTCTGCTTTTTTTTCTTCTTTTCCTCCTTCTCTTTCTCTTTCTTTTCTCTCAGGTTCCTGAACCATGCTTGCCGCTTGCTGAGTGGCACCTCTGGCTTGGCCAAAGAGCTGTGTTCCACCCAAGGATTGAACAACTCCTTAGCTGCTGAGGTTTTTTATAACAAAAAGAGAAAAAGGAAAACATGTAGTACAAGCAACGAAGCTTCTAAAATAAGTACTTATTCAGACCAGGCTCGCAGTTGCTGTTGATGCAGAAGTTCTTGTGCGGTTGTACGATTGTTCTCCGCACTGTCTGCAAACTCGTAAGTCCCAGTGGGGCGGAGGGCACGCCGAGCTGCTGGAAGCCTTCTCCTTCGGCTCGTCCTCGTCGGCTGGAACTTCTTCCTCCAGCAGCCTCTTAAGGCTTTCCCGTATTTTGGCGTTTTGGGCCTTGAGCAGTGCTCGCTCTTCGGCGAACTCCGCATCCCGCCGCTGCCGCTCGGCAGCCATCTCAGCTGCCCTCTCCTCTTGAATCCGCCGCTCCTCGTCTCGTTCCTTCTCCATGGCGGCCTTCTCGGCGGCAGCCTTTTCCTCGGCTTCCGCTCTTGCTAAGGCGGCGGCCTCCTCGGCAGCGGCCTTCGCCGCCCTCGCATCCGCAACGGCTTTCTTCTCTGCCTTCTCGGCCACAGCCTTCTCGGCGGCAGCCCGGGCACCATACGCATGCTCCTGCTGCATTTGATGCTGCATTTGCTGCTGCTGCTGCTGCAGCAGCAGCTGCATGAAGGCAAGAATCGGCGGCATCTGAATCTGGGCCCCGGGCCCCATCAGCGGCATCTGTGGCGGGGGCGGCATGGGCGGGAAACCGGCTGAGCCCATTCGCATGCTCGGCGAGGAGGCTTGCTGCTGCTGGCCTTCTCCTTCAATGGATCCCGCCCCCCCCATCGCCATCATGGGGTCGTCACCGTCTCCTCCTTCCGGCGCTGCATCTGGCCTCTCGGCCGCAGGCTCCGGAAGCGGCACATCGCCGCTGGGCTCACCCTGAAAGGGAGCAGCAGCACAAACACGGCCCTAAGAAACACAACACCTCTGTCTTCAGTAACTTTAGAAAGGACAACCTGCACCTTACAATCCCGCCTGCCCGAGGACACGGCCCCGAGTCCACGCTGCCAGGAAGACCAAAAACCACACACGTCGGGCCATGATCATAGCAACTGTTGTCGCAACGATGGCACTCACACTCGGGTCACCTAAAGGCTTGAGATCTCTCGCAGCAGCCAAGCAAGCAAAGGTCGCAGACAACAAAAGACTGCATGACCTGCACTCGCTGAAGCTGAAACTGCGCAATCGCAACTTGAACCGATCCGAGATTCCGGCATAGGCCTTAAAAGCAAACACCGCCTTGTCTTCCGCTTCTGCCCTGAGCCAGCAAATTCTGCTCGCAAGGAAAGAACAGGAGAAAATTTCTGGTCGCAGTCCCTGTCCCAGCCTGGCCCTAAGCCTAAAAGCGAACAGCCCTCATCTAGTTTACATTTCCCTACCTCCTGCCAGCTCTGGCTGGAGTAAGGGACCTGGAATCGCATATGCAA